AACGATAAAATAACAACTTTGAAGCATTACTTGTATTTTAAAGTTACAGACTGGATTGCAGTGATATATTCTAAGGGTCTTTCTTGCTGTCAGATACCCTGGATTCAATTCACTCTTGAATCCAGTAATAGCTGTGATAAATAGGCTAATGCAGTGATTTTACCTTTTTGATAATCTGGGATTTGAGTGTACGGTAGTTTTCCCTTGTCATTTGATTGGTTTACGTCGCGAGCTCGATCATTATACCTATCCCTTTTGTGAAAATAACATTCAGCTCTGGTTAGAGCTTATGCTGGAACCTTGGCAAAGCTATCCAGACTAGCAGTCCGCTCAGGTCTAATAAACCAAGGCCCGTGGCAGTAGAGACTAGGCAGATGTACTCATCTTGTACCACAGCTCTGAGGAGATGCTAATAATATAAACTGTCTGTCCTTATCGGGCCATACTTAGATCAGCATCAGACATAAGAGCTCAGTTCTACGAGGTGCCAGGCAGCCTCAGTACTGACAACTCCCAGAGAAGACAGCAGGCAGGGTCTGGAAAGAACACACTTTCCAATGTAAATCTGGGAGACTGTCAGACAAACCCGGTAAGATTTACTTCTAATTAACCTAGTGCCATAAGCACTGTGACAGTGTGCAAACCATTACCTTTCATCTTAACTCATCAACACAGTTTAATTTTCAATGTAGAACCACAGAATCATAGACCAGCCCAGGTTGGAAGGGACCTCGAGCAATCATCTGTTCCAATCTTCTGTGGGAAAGGGAGCCCAGATGAGATTATCTAGCATCTTGTCCAGTCACATCTTGAAAACTTCCAGTGACTGGGACTCCACCACATCCCTCAGGAGGTTATCCAAGTGAATGACTGCTCTCACTGTAAAATGTTTCTTTCTTATATTAAGATGAAACCTTGCCCAGTGCAACTTGTACCAGTTGCTCCTGTCCTCTCCATGTGGCTCCTTGTAGCTGCCCTTTAAGTACTGGAAAATTGAGAGTAGATCCTCCCCTGAGCCTTCTCTTCTCCAGGGAGAAAAGTCCGAAATCCTTCAGTCTTTCCTCACAGGGCAGGTTCTCCAGCCCTTTGATCGCCTCTGTGGCCCTCCTTTGGGCCCTCTCCGGTCTGTCTACAAGTTTTTTGAATTGTGGGGACCAGAGCTGGACACAGAATTCTAGGTGCAGCCTGATAAGCGCAGAGGAGAGTGGGATGATCACGACTCCCTCTGCTAGCAACGCTCCTGTGGATGCAGCCCAGGATCCTATTTGCCTTGGTTGCTGGA